GTCTCCGCAGCGGAACCTGCCCCGGCAGCCGCAGCCAGCAACCGAGGGCCAGAGCTGGGAGCACAAGTCAGTAAAATCCGTGAGAACGGGAACAGCTGTCCGGGCTCCCGCCAAAGCCCAGACCTGAGGTCGGTGTGTGCTTCCCTTTAAAGGGGCTCCAGGTGGCTCGACGCAGGGTTCCCCGGGCGCTGAGCCCATCCCGTCCCCTTGCTGGCGCCCTGCAGCCACCTAGGACATCGCCCAGTCCGTCCCTCCCTCCCCCCACAGCCACCAGGGCCCCATCAGCTTTCTGACTGTGCGTGGCTAACCCTCCCCCAGGCCCCGGCGCTGTGAGCGGGTTCACCTTCAGAGTCCCTCTGAGATGCTTCTAGTTCGGAGCAGTTTCGTTAGGAAAATCCTCTATGTCTTTGCCAGTGAGATTTTCAAAAGCGAGCCCGTCTTTCTTTGTGTCTTTCCGTCTGACATTTCTGTCTTAAATTTCCCAGAGACATCAGTTCGGCCTCTTATCACATTAGCCCCGATTTGTATTCTGCGCGCTACGGTCTCTGATGTTCCGGGAGACGACACAGAGGACGGACACCCAGGGCCACTCCGCGCTCGCCGGCAGCCAGGCGGCCGTGGGGAGCCATCGAGAGCTCCGGGGGCGCTGGGCAAGCCTCCTGGGCTTTGAAAGGGCCGTTTAGATCCGAGTGACCTCAGAATGCGTCCCCGACAGTTATGTTCTGAACTCCTGGTGCCTGCCTCTTGTCTGCCTCCCTGTCTGTGCGGTGGAAACAGGACCTTCTCATTCCCACCCGGGCCCTCGGGGGGGCCCTCCGTCGGCACCTGCCTCTTCCCTGACCAACCCATGCGGGGCAGCCGTGGTCCATGCCAGGCCCGTCAGCCTCAACGTCGTCTGTCATTGACGTTTGGGGGCAGACAACCCTTCCTTGCAGGGCGTTGAGCTGCGTCCCCGGCCTCTACACTGAGATGCCGTGGTGCCCCCAAGCCATGAACCAAATGTGTCCCCAAACGTGTCGAGTGTCCCCCGTGGGGCACACTTGCCCTTGGTTGGGAACGTGTGGTGTAAAGAAGAGAGCGGACACCCAGGGCCACAGTGCTGACCCCGACCCCTGGCTCGACTAACTTAGGGTCCATCACCGCTCGTGACACCTGCCCCGGGGTGACTGTGAGCATTCACTGGCCAGTGTGGCCACTTCCTTTCACATTCATCCTCGAAGCCACCTCTCCCGTCATCATCTTTAGTTGAGGCTCCGAGTCATGTTGCATGGGCGGTAAATAATGAAAGCCCAGCTTTATGCCACCGAAGGGCCCTTCTCGGCCTCGCGCACAGCCTGGCTGTACGCGCACAGCGGGCAGGTTGAACGCTCTCGGGGACCCCGCCTTATCCTCGGGAAGATGTTAACTTCAGGTGGTACCTCTGCTGTGCCCCTGTGGCCGCTCCCACGCAGTGAATGCACCCACAGTTACAGACGGGAGCCTGGGGCGGGAAGCAGAGCCCTGGGGGTGCACGCTCTCACTTCTCCGTGCTGTTCGCATTCGCACAGATTTGCATTCCTGCGCCTCTGGGGCCGACCCTTGAGTTTTCATTCCATGGCTCCCCAGTGCTCTCCTGATTGCTCCGCCCGTGAGAAGGGCTCCGCGGGCGTCTCTGGCAGCCGCCCCCCTCCCCTCCATTTCTTTCCTGTTCTTGGAGGGAAGCCAGTTGTTGGGGCGCATCTGCGGCCGCATAATGAGCCATTGTTCTTCTGAGTAGCTCGTGGGCGTCAGCTTCCTTTCCGCTGACATGACAGGGACCTGTCTCCTCTCCTCCGGCTGCACTCGGGGACCCTCCGCATTCTGTTGCGATGACAAGAGTCACCTTCCTTTCTCTCAGAGTGATTGACCTTCCGCTGTCTCTGAAAGGGAAACGACTAAAAAGAGAGAGTCTGTAGCCATCGGCTGCCACAGGCTAATCTGAATTCACCAAGACAGAGGAGCGCATCCTCTCAGGATCCCGCTCCTCTGCCGCCTCCGCCGCCGCCGCCTCTGTAGGCCTCGCCCGGCCCGTGTTTCTTCCAGCGAAAGAGACGACCATGTGTGTCCCGCTCCCTGAGAGCTGCGTGTCCGCCGGTTCGGTGACAGGGACGAGTGCTAGTTTTTCTGGCTGACACACAGGCAGCGCCGCGCCAACAGCCATGTGCCCGGCAACCATTTGCGTGGCTTATGGAACCAGACAACCCGGGGTCTGGGCGGCCTGTCACCACTCAAGCCAATGAAGCAGACACAAGGTTGAATCCTATACGAGCATTTATTCCAATCCTGCGGGCAGCGTGGGAGAGCAGCAGGCCACCCGCGGACATCTGCTCTGCCCTCCCCGTAAGCCAGCTGCTTCAATAGGTAGAAGGACAGAGATTCACGGGGAAGTAGGCAAAGGAGTATGCGAAACGGGCAGTTTACAGGTAATGGGGGCTGGAGATTTATTTGCAAAGGCTGCGGGCATGCAAAGGGCCCGGGGGTCTTCAAAGGGCTTAGTGACATGCAAAGGGCTGGGGTCTTCAAAGGCTAGTGACATGCAAAGGGCCCGGGTCTTCAAAGGGCTTAGTGACAAGCAAAGGGCTGGCAGCTCTGGTTTCTGCAACAAGGTCCTTGGTCTCTGCATGATCATAGGCAGCTCCCAGGTCCCACGTGCAGCGCCCAGCCAGGTCAGAATGCGCCTCCTTTACTCAGAACAACGTGATCACGGTCAACCTTGCGCCTTCCCAGCAGTTACTATGAAGGACCTCATTGACGTGGGCGCCTCCAGTCTCACCAGCGGCCTGAGGTGGGAAACAGTGGAAGCTGAGCCACTTTATCCTTAAGGTGACAGGTGATTGGTGGATGGGTGGATGGATGGATGGATGGATGGATGGAGAGAGATATGTAGATAATTGATAGGTGATAGGTAGATGGATGGATAGATGATAGATAGATAGATAGATAGATAGATAAATAATCTCATCTGTATCTCGAACATCTTGAAATTGTGTTTCACTTTTACATGTCAGATTTTATGTAAAAACTGCTCATTTTTTGGCAACTCAGACAGATAGACTTACGGTATTTCTTCATAAATTCAGTGGCTTTTTCAATGATTCAAAAGGATAAAATAAAAGTTATTGAGTCAGTCTTGCCTGAGTTCCCATCCCAGCTGCCTCTTCTGTAACCTGGTGACTTTGAGTACGTGTTTCTACTTCTTGGCCCTCGTTTCCTCATCTGAAATGTGGGCGATCGTAGTTCCTACCAGTGGGGTTCCTGCGAGGCATTAGCCAGGACAGTCCCTATCCAGCACCACAGTCACGCGGAGCTGAGGACTCCTAGTCACGCGTCCCTGTGATGACGAAGGTGTTTGAGCGCCACCTGGACAGGCAGCCATTCTGTTTACTCTCTCTCTTCTCACTAATTGCCTTGCTCCTCCTCCTCTTTTTGTTTTTAATGTTTCCCTCTTGTCTCACGTTATTTCTAACTCCGACCGTCTTGGATTCGGACTCTCTGCTGACTCTCCAGATGGCTGTCTGGAGCTTGTCCCCCAAGGACAGGCCGCCATGTGACCATGGGTCTGAAGGGGGGGGGGGCACTGGAGCTCGTCCCCCGAGGACAGGGCGCCATGTGACCATGGGCCTGAAGGAAGGGGGGGGGGGCACTGGAGCTCGTCCCCCGAGGACTTCGCACCATGTGACCATGGGCCTGAAGGAGGGGGGGGCACTGGAGCTCGTCCCCTGAGGACTGGGCGCCATGTGACCATGGGCCTGAGACTAGCCCTGGGTCTGATCTACATCACACTTCACGAAGCAGGAAATCGTGTTTGGACAGTTAGTCCTCTCGTCATTCTTTTTGAACCTGATTTTCTCAAACACGGTTGCTCTGTTGGCCCCGACCCAGAGGCCCTTGGCTGGGAAGGGTTCTCCTTTGTCATGTCTGATGGCGGAGTAGCTGTGGGCGCCAGGCCTTGAGCTGGGCACCAAACATGACAAGCGAGCGGACTGAGTCACTCTGGATTCTGGTCTCAGCAGATGAGGGCCACGGAGAGGCCTGAGACCAGCCTTGGGACATGGACCCACCTATGGGCCGGAGCCCGGAGCCGCTCTCCCTGCCGCTCAGCCCACGCCTGTGGAGTGGCCGCTGAGACTCCCGGTGGAGGACTGTGGTCCCAGGACTAGCGAGCATCGCGGGCTGTCACACTGTCACGGAGGAGTCGGTCAGAGGCCGCCTTTGATGAGGGTGAACAAGGCCCTGGCACAGAACCGGGGATGCACCGCCCCATCTCTCGTCGATGCGCGTCAGGGGAGGGATGCCGGGCTCCATCCAACCAGCTGTTTGAACCCAGCTCTGCCACTGACCAGCCAGGAAAGGTAGTTACATTAACCCGTCTGAGTGTAGTTTCCTCCTATGAGAGAGA